CCAAAGCAAAGAGAAGGGATGAATGGAGAAGAACATAATTCCCTGAAGTAGAATACAGAAAAAATACAAGTGATACCCAAACCTTGTTCTTTGAAATGGTCAACAAAACTGCTAAACATCTGTCTAGTTTGATTAAAAAAGAAGAAGACACAAACTAACACTTCAGGAAAGAAAGTAGGGACACCACTGCGGACCCTGCTCACCTAAAGCCCAACCTGTTACCCACCATAAAGATGACAAAACAGTAGTAAGAACAGAGCGTACAACGTGGAGTGTGAAGACGCCCCAGAACGTGGCACAGAGCGGAAGCAGGGCCTCCAGACCCTCTGCTCTTCTCCTCTGAAGCAGGCCCCGGAAGGACTCTGACTTCCTGTGAACCAGGCGGTGAGGCCCATCCGCAGGTGGCTTCCCCACCCAGAGGAAAGGAAAGGGAACACTTCTGTCCAGAGTCACAGGGACAGGGAGGACTCTGAACAAGGCCTCGCTGTGCTCCCTGGGTGTGACCTGTGGGTCCCACCCCCTTTGTCCAGTCACACGCGCAGGAAACCTGGGTGTAAAGACGCACAGTGTGTGAGCCAGCCTTTCCTGCTGTGACCAGAACTCCTGACAAGAACAACCCAGGGAAGGGAAGTTTATTTTGATTCCTGGGTCAGAGGTTCAGTCTTTGGTCAGCCAAGTCCATTGCTCTGGGCCCAAGTGGAGGCAGTACATCATGGGAAGGGCGGGGCAGAGGGAAGCTGCTCAGGACATGGTGGTTGGGGAGCAGAGGGACAGGGGACAGGGCCACAGGGAGGAAGCACCCACTCTTCCCTCCACACCCAGCCACCTGCGGTTACCACACAGTCCACCAGACTTGGGCGCACTGATTGGGTTGCGGCTCTCACGGTCGAAACAGCTCCCCTCCAAAGGTTCCCGCTGTTGACCAGTGACAGTCCTTGCTTCCCCGAATGCTGAAGTATGACACCAGAGGAGCACGCCGAGGCAAGTGTAGGGTGGAAAGTAGAAGCTTTATTAAAGGACAGCAGAAAGCCTCCTCCCCAGAGGACGAAGGGGACCCAAAGGGGGAATCCGTGGAAGGGGGAGGTCTTCCCTCTGTTATAGCTAAGGTCTTCTCTTAGTCTTCCCACACTCCTGACCTTTGTTCCCCTTTATCTTGCAGTGATATAATGCAGGTGGGAAGGCCCAACAGGTGGGAGATAGGTGGGCTGGAGGAGTCATCTGGGCAGGAAGGGCCTGGGGTGGCTTTTGATTAGCACTCCCCTGTTTGCTGGGAGCTGCTTCATGAACAGTTCCTTAGGATGGGTTCTGGGCCTTGGGGACATTAACATTTCAATTTCCTCAAGTGCTGCTCTGCTTTCCTGGACTCCATTCTCGATAATGGTCTCCATTTTATTTATCTTACTCGATATTAGACCCTATTTACCTAGCTACACTGACTACCTATCTGTAAATCTGGCTTCACAAACAAGCCTAGGCTGACACAGGGGCTTGGGGGACACCTTATATCTAAACCACAGCACATAGTTTCCCTGTTTCTTTTGGTCTTCATTTCTGAAGGAAGGGTGTCAATGTCACACTGTGTCAATGAAACTTACGTTAAACAAGTACGTGTGCTTTCCCTGTAGTCTGGCCTTTGTCACGGGTGCTCCAGGGCCAGCTTAGCTGTGGGTAGGAAAGAAAACGTCTCTCCTTTAGCTGCTAAAACGTTACGACCTGTGGAGGCAGACAAGTTCCTGGATGGCCTCATGTGATCAAAATAGACTTAAGAATAAATGTGAGACTCAAATAGCTCTGTGCCAACTGAAGCACTTTAGTGTTAATTAAAAACCTCTCCACAAAGAAAACTGCAGGCTCAGTTGGCATCACTAATAAATTCTATCAAATATTTAAGGTGGAAATATGCAAATCCAAAATACATTCTTTCCAAAAATAGAGTAGGATAGAGCACTTCCCAACTCAGTTTATGAAGCCAGTGATATTCCAAGTCCAAAACAGACTTAAAAGAAAGAAAAGAAAAAGAAAATTCTAAGGAAAAAAGAACTAAGACCAACTCACCTCATGATGGTAGATGCAGAATACAGCAGGTCGGGACCAACACTGCGCTACGCTGCAGGGTCCATCCTTATCCTGGGACACAAGGCCAGCCTACCACCTGAAAACCCAGGGTCTTCAGCTCACCATACTAATGGAAGTCCATGTGATGTCTTCAGTTGCTGTGGAAAAATCATTTAAAAATAGTCAGCAACCTTCCATGATAAAAACCCAATAATGTAGCAATGAACAGGAACATGCTCAACTTATTAAGTTCACCTGGGAAGCACTCACAGCTGGTGTCAAGCTCAGGGGTGACTTACTGGGTGACTTACTTACCCAGCACGGGAGTGAATCAGAGGTCCCCTCTGACCCTCTCCTTATCAGTTCTGCACCAATGGCCTGAGGTTTGTGGTCACATTGGTTTTTACTGAGAGAATATTGACCTTCTCAAAGTGTCTTGGGACAAATAGTTACATGCATAAACGGGTGGCATTAGATCCCGGGCTCTCACCACATATGCAAGTCATTTCCCAATGAGCCAAGTCCTGGTTTTTGAAAGTAATAATCAAAATTGTTTCAGAAAAAATTCAGAGGAATATCTTTATGATCTTGAAACAGGAAAGGATTTGGTTTCTTAAATAGGGTAGATCAAACACTAACAATAAAAGATCATAAAATTTTGGTATATATTAAAATTTTCTACTGATCCAAATATTTCATAAAGAAAATGAAAACTCCAGCTAAGAAAAGACATTTTTAACACATAAAAGTAATAAAAGTGTCATGTATAATGTATAAAAAAAATCCATAAAAATCAATAAGATAAAAACAGTTCAACAGAAAAAAATAGACAAATAAACCAGGAATTTCCAAACTAAGAAATAAAAATAGCAAAGAAATATCTGAAAAGACTCAAAGTCATTCACAATAAGACCATTTTGCACCTACTGTATTGACACAAAGTAAGAAAGCCTTAGAACTTTCTTAATTTGGAGAGGACGTGAACCACGGGAGCGCTTCACACTGTCCATGCTAGTTCAACTGCCACGGCCACTCTGGAAAGTGACTTGTAAAGCCAGGCGTTCACACTCCCTACGACCTGCCACTGCCCCTCCAGGCACACGTCTAGATAGCCCTGGAAAAGACACACATTTGTACAAAATATGTGAAGAAAAATGTTCATGGCAGAAGCATTAGTCATAATAATAGAACTAGCAGTGATGGACGTCCATTGTAATACAGGAACTCCAACACCGTGCACTGCGAAGACCTAGAGCGCACCCGACAGAAACTAATGGAGATTAATGAGGACTGCTTACAGCAAATACCGCATTACTAAGCTCAAATGCAAGTGAAACGGGCTGGCTGTGGCTCCGAGGCAGAGCACTTGCCCAGCATGCGTGCAGCCCTGGGGTTCCATCCCCAGCACTAAAAGAAATTAAAACCCAAAGGCAAGCAGAACTGAGCAGCTTGCCATGTAGGGACAGGTGAGTGTGTGAAGAGGGTCAGGGAGCCATGTGCTTCAGAAGCGCAGAGGGAGAAGACGCACAGAATCTTGTTCTGCTCCTTAGTGGTACCTCTGGTTCCTCTTTGTAACAGTTGTTTCATGCACATCCACGATCACGCAATCTTAAAAGTCACGGCTAATGCAGTGTGGTTGGTGCCAGGAGGGGTGGTGACAGCAGAGAGCTTGGGACTTCTCGAGGACTTGGTGGGAGGACCTCTTCATCGGAAGGCAGGCTTGAGATTTAGAAATGCAGCATGATGGCGCTGGATAAAGTGCTATGCAGATGGAGGAGCAGCCTTCTTAAAAATCTTTCTTTCTTTCCTTTTTTATTTTTTTTGCAACTTTCCTGTGAAACTAACCAACTGACTCTTACGGGCCTTCCAAATCAGAAATCAACAAGTTGTTGTATAAGGGTAGCTTCACTGAAATGAGTGAACCGTCCTCTGTAGACAAGAGCATCTCAGTGCATTTTCTCAAGGGGAAAGAGAGCAGGACTCATTAGATTTGTACCTGAAAGTACTAACCAGAAGAATCAGTGGGCACAATTCCACCCGAGCCTCTGCTGAGCCAAACGTGACTTACATAAAGCTCAGGTGGAGCGTCTAGAACCAGGATGGTGCACATACTCCTTTGTGAGCGGGTTTTCCTTTTCCTTCTAAGTGTTCTGGACTCCTAATTGCTGTTCTCTTGGGTTAACCCAGTCTGCTCGGCCTTTCTCCTTGGCAGCTCTCAGTGTGAAAGACCTCTGCCTTCAGCCTGGCCCACAGCTCCCGCTCTGCTCAGGAAGATGTCTTTCCTTCTACCCAGGCTTGCCCTGCCTCTCCACCCGTCCACTTTCAGAACTCTACCTTCCCATGCACCACAGGTGTTTGCACACACATCCACACGCCACACTATTTACTATGGGTTTATTAATTTTCTAAGGGAATAACTGAAATCTTGGTTAATTATATGAAAAATACTGGATCCACTGACAGGATGATGTGTAGGTTCCAGGTGTTCACGGTAGCAGAACGTTCAGAACCTCCCAGAATTGCAGGAAGAGGCTGTGGCCAGGGGAGATCCAGTCCTGCAGAGCACGGGTGCACGGGCAGGTTCAGTGCAGGTCTCAGCTACAGTAGATGAGTCCCTCCACTTCTGCTTCCACCCTGTGGAACATGAATTCTTCATCTACTCAATGTCCACTGTGCAGTTCTTGCCCAAGAACATTCTAGCACCTTCCACAGAATGTGTGCACGTAGTGCTGGTGCCTTTCTCCTGGAGGGCAGGAAGGGCTCAGAGAGAAGGATCGTAGAGACTATGCTAGCAGAGAGGGACCCACTCTCTGCACTTGAAGGGCCTGTGGATAAAAAGCTGCATATCATCCAGAACCATATCGTTCATTTCATGTAAGTGTCCATCAGAAGCCGAGGCGAGTTGGTTGATGGTTCATGACTCTCTCTTATTTCCTTCCCTGTAGATAAAGAATTCATCTACAGAGAACGGGAAGGCACCGTGATACTGCGGAACGTCGAAACAAATGACTCTACAGTGTTAATAGAAGGCAAAAAAATTGTAAGTACTCTCTCTAATGACCAGGATAATTCCAGAGTTTTTTTCCTGCTGCAAGTCAATAAAGCAGAAAATGACTTTGGGTTTCCCGTTTTAGTATAGCCAAGGAGAAGCAATAAACTTGTAATACTACAGGCTGAGCAACTAAAGATAATGTGAAATTGAAATGACATTAATTTAATAAGATGAAAGCTGTTTCCTCCAGCGTCCGGGACTCTCTCTGCAGGTGTTGGAAGCAAGCACTGCATATCAAATATAATTGGGAGATAAAGCCCTGAGGCTTTTACACGTTTACAGAACAATGCAATAATGCCTACAGAGTATTTCCAGAGAACCTTCATTTAAAGAGAGAGACGTGTCCTCGTGCACAGGGAGCATTAACTGAAGCCCTGTGACTGTACCTGATGATGTTAAGTGAGATTTTTATCTTAAAACAAGTGCCAAGTCAACCAGGGTACCCCTGCCTTAGGGTCTGGGAGAGCTTTTTTCCCCCAGGATTTCAAATGTCATTAAGATTTTGGGTTCATGTGTAAAAACATTAGGACCATTAACTGAAGTTATGTACTAAAGTAGATCAATTTAAAGAAAATCAACTTTTTTTTTTGGCTGTTTATGATATGCTTATATTGAGTATCGGAAGAAGTAAATCTGCTTTTGGGGGTTGACCATTTTCTTGTCTGAGACAATGAGGAATTCACAGGAAGAGACCAAGGTTAAATCTACGTGAAAAGCAGTAAACTGATACAGACCGGGATTCTGAGTCAGAATGATCATAAAATGGCTCTGCTATGAATCAGACACCTAGAGAACTGGGGGGTCCCCCATCTGGGACTGGAAGACACCACAGGAAGAATCATCCAGGTGTTATGGTGACCTGAGCCCCCGAGGCCAACCGTGATGTTCACTGTGGTTTATAAAACAGCCTGTAGCAAGTGGCAAAGTGGCAAAGGCGTTGGACGTTCTGGGGTCTGCAGGCTTCTGAAATCTTCCCTGTGGTCCTGCTGATCTCATTCTCCTCCTCAGCTGATACAAACAGGTGGTTCCCACGGTCGATGACTTCATGTCCCCAAGTTCTTGTGTCCCCAGCCCCTTCTAATTCCTTGGCCAGGCATCTGGGTGGGAGGGATGCAGGGAAGCCCAGCAGAGAGCGGTGGACACCCCAGGACGGTGCAGCAGGGGTCGATGCCGAGCGCTGTGCTGACATAGGTGACCCCTGCCTTCCCTGACCCATGCTTCCGACTGAACCTCTTGACCCAGCTGTCCTCTCCTGCGACTCAAGGGTGGAAGCATTAAATAGTCGCACAGTCTGAACGGCGAGGCCTGTGCAGGCACCTGTCGCACTCTGCAATCACAACGCACCACTCACGCTTTCCTGGAATGCTTTTGCTTTTTATATTGTTTTCTGGAAGTGGACCCTGTCCCAGCATCCTGGGGCAAGTTCAGACTTTCCCTCTGAAGCCGATACTTAAGTCTGCTGAGATGAACTGGCAGACCAGCAAGTGGGAAATCTGGTGGGTTTACTAACACGCACGGGTCGGGGGCCACACACGATATCACAGCCAGGGAGGCCAGGTGGCTGAGGCTTAAACGCCTTCTCACAGGGAGAGAGAAGCCAGGACTGCAGCGGGGAATAGATGATTTTTAGGGAAACTGGATGAGCCCAGAGAAGAGACAGTGCTGGGGACAAAGTTCCTCTGGGCTCTGGGTGGATGTTATCAGATTTCTAGGAGCATCCACGTGAGAAAGGATTGGAGGCACCATCAGCACAGGTGGTGACCTTCAGCTCTGCTCCACCTCCCGGCTAGAACTGTCCTCTGCTCAGGGACAGCAGAACTTTGGGCAGTTGTGTAAGGTCAGGACACCCCCGTCCTGCCTCTAGGGGTGCTGTAAGACTGATGTGAGGTGTGTGCGCGTGCTGGAAGGCCACCCAGGCCACGGGAGGGTTCAGACGGCTGCACTGGGCGGGCTCAGGACTCCGGCAGCGTGGGTGCTGCGGCTCTACGCAAGACCCAGAGGAGGGCCAGGGCCACAGGCACACACCAAGGGCACTGCTGGCACGGCAGCCCACAGGTCCAGGCCGCGGTAGCAGGGTAACAGCCCTTCCTGTGGGCTGGGTGAGGCGGCTCTCCAGAGGGAGGGGGCTTGTCAAAGCTGGGACTGATGGCAAGAGGCGGATCTCAACAACCAAATCAGTCAAACCCAACCCAGCTTCCCCTCGAACCCACATTTGATGTCCCAGGAATTCCCGGACATCATGTTTCATTCTTACTTACAAAGTAATTGAAATGTCCAACTTAAAGTGATCTTATTTTCACACGTCCTGTAGACTCTCTTGTCAACAAATTAGCAATTATAAGCAGGTCTTTGTTATGATATATGACTTTTTGTATTTTTTTGTTGGTTTTGATTAGTTATCCATGACAGTTGAATGCATTTGACACATCTTACATGAATGGAGTATAATTCTCATTCTTCTGGTTGTACATGATATAGGATCCCACAGGTCATGTACTTGCATATGTATGTAGGGTAATGGTGTCTGATGAATTCTACTATCCTCCCTACCCCATACCCCTCCCCTTCTTCACTCCCCTCTGCCTAATCCAAAGTACCTCTATTCTTCCCTAGCACCCCTCCTCTTATTGTGAATTAACATCTGCCTATCAGAGAAAACATTCGGCCTTTGGTATTTGGGGAATTGACTTATTTTGCTTAGCACGATATTCTTCAGTTCCATCCACTTACTGGCAAATGCCATCATTCCATTATTCTGTGAGGCTGAGTAATATTCCATTGTGTATATGTACCACATCTTCTTTTTTTAAGTTTTTTTTTAACATTTATTTTATTTGTTTATTTTTATGTGGTGCAGGGGATCGAACCCAGCGCCTCATGCGTGCTAGGCGAGCACTCTACTGCTGAGTCACAGCCCCAGCCCCCCACATTTTCTTTATCCATTCATCCATTCCATGAAGGGAACGTAGGTTGGTTCCATAATTTATTGTGAATTAAGCTGCTGTAAACAGGGATGTGGCTGCATCACTATGATTTGCTGGTTTTAAGCCCTTTGAGTATAAACCTAGGAGTGAGGTAGTTGGGTCAAAGGGTGGTTCCATTCCAACTTTTCTGAGGAATCTCCATACTGCTTTCCATAGTGGTTGCACCAACTTGCAGTCCCACCAGCAGTGTATGAGTGTGCCTTTTCCCCACATCCTCGCCAACATTTATTGTTAGTGTATTCTTGACAATTGCCATTCTGACTAGAGTGAGATGAAATCTTAAAGAGTAGTTTTGATTTGTGTTTCTCTAATTGCTAGAGATGGTAGGCATTTTTTCATATATTTGTTGATTGATTGTATTTGTTCTTCTGTGAAGTGTCTGTTCAGTTCCTTTGCCCATTCATTGATTGGGTTATTTGGGTTGGTTTTTTTGTTTCTTTGTTTGTTTGGTGTTAACTTTATTGAGTTCTTTGTATAGATTAGTGCTCCATCTGAGGTGTGTGTGGTGAAGATTTTTTTCCCATTCTGTAGACTCTCTCTTCATGTTCTTGATTGTTTCCTTTGCTGAGAAAAAGCCTTTTAATTTGAATCTATCTCATTAATTGATTCTTAATTTTACTTCTTACACTTTAGGAGTCTTATTAAGGAAGTCAGGTCCTAAGCTGACATAATATAGATTTGGGCTTGCTTTTTCTTCTGTTAGCCACAGGGTCTCTGGTCTAATGCCTAAGCCCTTGATCCACCTTGAGTTGAGTTTTTGTACAGGGTGAGAAATACAGGTTTAATTTCATGATGCTACATATGGATTTCCAGTTTTCCCAGCACCATTTGTTGAAGAGGCTGTCTTTTCTCACTGGATGTTTTTGGCCCCTTTGTCTACTATGAGATAACTGTACTTATGTGGGTTTGTCTCTGTGTCTTCTCAATGGTACCATTGGTCTTCATGTCTATTTTGGTACCAATGCCATGCTGTTTTTGTTACTATGGCTCTGTAGTATAGTTTAAGTTCTGGTGCTGTGATGCCTCCTGCTTTACTCTTCTTGCTAAGGACTGCTTTGGCTCTTCTGGTACCTCTGTTCTTCCCCAGCATTTGACCCACGGCCTCCGGATTCCTGAAGGTTCTCGTCCCTCTTTGTTGCTGATTTCTCCTTCTTTCCTTCTTCCCACTCTCTCCAGTAGGAGTGCCCTTAAACTGGGCTGAAGATACTTCGCTGAAGTTAATTAATCGGGTTTCATGGGGACAGCAGTTCTTATAGAACTTAACACTCTCCGATTCTTCTGAAACATCATGGAGCACAACTCCTCAGGAGGATGAAGTGCTCAGCCTTTGCCTGACACTTAGGTATTTGAGTCTGGAGTGGTGTTTGGAGACTGTGTCAGTATTCAGACCCTGCTTTCCTTAGAAAAGGAAACCACACACACTGGGGCTTGAGCCCCACCTTCCATGCTGTTGGTCCACCAGGAATGTTCCAGAACAAATCTCCATCTGGATTGAGGTGCTGAGGCTTCTTGTGCTCGCTTCACTGATAATTCCAGTGGCAACGAGAAGTGGAGAGGTGTATCCTGTGGTTCACGGGATCGTTTAAATCATGCTGGGTGTGTGGAAGGCAGCATGGCTGTTCATTTCAGGGGCAGTAGAAATATTTATGCATTCCAAGTCACTCCAGGGAAATTTTCACAATAATCTAAAAGGCACAGTGTTGCAGCATTGTGTGTGAAAGTAAAAATGCCTGAGACTCAGCAAACAAGACAAGTAAACAAAAAACAGATAAAATATGGGGCAGCCATTGAAATAGTAGCTAGGAAGAATATTTGTGATTTTATATGGAATAAGGAGAATATAGTGCACAGCTCAGGTGACAAGTGCAAGCATCATCAGTATCTACAGAAAGGCTGGAAGTGAACCCGGAGCCCCCCCTGGGCACACTGGGCAGAGAAAGTCTGTGTGTTATCTCCTAATGTGCTCATTTCCATAATTGCTGGTCCAGTGCCATTCATTCAGCA